CGCTCGGCCCCGCAGAGGCTGCCCCGTGAGCCGCTCCGCCCGGGTCCCGCCGGAACAGGTAGGGCTGCGGGATGGGAAGCGGGATGGGGCGCTCCTTTTCCTCGCCTTCTCCTCTCCGCGCTGGCCGTGGGCGCTCCCAGGCGCCGTCTCTGCTCCCCCGGAGCTGCCGGGTCGGGGGTTTTGGGGCTGGGGGCTGCGGAACGCTGTGCTCGGGCGATAGACGGGCCCCGGGTGCGATGGGGCAGCGCTGCGGGAGCGCCCGGCGGCGTCCCCGGTGCCCTCGGGTGGCAGCCACCGGTCCCTGCTTCGGGCGGTGATCGTGTTTTCACTCTGTAAAGAGTTACGGGCTACCCGTGACAAAACGGGCTTTGTAGCTGTTCCCGTCGGGGAGCTTTTGTTACCTGCTCCGGCAGCAAAGGCGGAGCTCTGCAGTTTCAGAGCCTACCTGGGGCACCCTGCGGGGGCTCTTTCCGCGATAATTCGCCAGCGAACAAGCAAATGCCGCTCGGTTTAGCCGGGAGAGGAGAGCAGGAGGGGGCGAGAGCGGCTCCGGTGACATGTGCGGATGTTACACAACGAGAACTGTGCCGGACAGGCAGGACCAGTTCGGATCGGTGTCTKTCTTCAAGGGGCCCATTAGCCTGGAGTGCGTGTAGGGGCTTGCGCTGGATGACTTCATGGACAGGATTCATTCAGGGTTCATCGCCGACACTTCAGAAGATTGCGCTGTCATTCTTTTTTAACTCACGTTAGTTTCTGTCTGACAGATCCCTGCCATGTTTGCGTTTTTGATAGTGCTGTGTCAACTGCATGTGATGGTGTTGGCGTTTCCTCACTGCCCTGGGAGATTAAATAACTTGAAGCAACCTGAATGGAAAGATGGTAACTTAGTTTTAACATGACTCTATGCTTTTCAAAATTGTTTCTAACTTTTTGCTTTGTTGGCTTGTTTAATGGRCATTTTCTTTTTTGTTTGGGGGTTTAGTTTTGGTTGTTTTGATTTTTTTGCTTTGTTAAAAAAATGAAGCTGTTTTGTGCTCTTAATTTCAAATTATTTTAAGATCTCTGTTTCAGAAGACTGAAATTACTTTTGTATTTGCACTGAACCAAGAATATTGATGATATATTTTCTTCCATGTAATTCTTTTTCCTTTCCATTTGTGGGTTTGAGGGAATTTTGGTTTTGGATTTTGTGGGTTTTTCCTTAAGTCCTTTTCTCTGGTTACTCTTAGGTGTAGTATAAACATTTTAAGTTTAGACTTTCTTGCAATTACTTTAAATAACAAAGACAAATGCATGTGCACATGTGGAGCTGCTTCAGTATACACTATAACAGTATGTAAATAAATATAAATATATGCTGTAATATTCCTTAAATATATTATAATATTAAAGACATCAACAATCAATATGTAAATTGTGCTGCAGTTTTCTCACTTTTCAAAGAGGAAACTGTCATGAGATACCACTGCAAGATCTAACAGTAACTATTAGGGTGAAAATTCCTGAGTGATGTGATAATCCTGCCAAACAGGCTAACAAGAACACAAAGCTAATTTGTAGCTGAATAACTTTATCCTGAATCTCATCTCCTTTTTTGGCCATCCGGCTTGGTATGTAACAATGCTGTTTCTGCATGACACTTGCAAAATTAATCCTCTAGTCATTTTGCTCAACCAAATAACCTGAATTTCTTGGATACGGATTAGGCTTTCACTGAAAACCAAGCCAGAAATCTTTKTCTTTTTAATAATAAACTGTAGCAAGAGCAGGCTAAAACTTGACTRTGGAAAATGCCTAGTGAGGAAATAYYTTCCTGTATTCCAAAGCCTTCTATAATTTCACTGTTCTGGAATCTCACCTCACAACTTACTCCATGAGGCCTCATGKAGCACAAAAGAAGAGAATAATTAAATATCTTCAGAAAAGCCTGTTGTCAGTAAAATTCAAATTGTGGACTAATTTAAAATAAATAAACTTTTCTTCAARAATACCAAATTTASCCTTAACTTGTCTTAAAACAACWTTWTTTTTTTTTTTYAATTAGTTTTCACATCAGCAAAGGAGGCCAATTTATTCATTGGACGACATCTTCTGAACAACAGATTTGATTTTGAAGCATTCACAGATGATAACCTGGAAAGGGAATGCTATGAAGAACTGTGCAATTATGAAGAAGCAAGAGAAATTTTTGAAGACCCTGATAAAACGGTAGCAGTTCAAACTGAATTTAATATACTGAGGGAGGTTATTGACTAAATCATTATTGTACACAAATACTGTAACTCTTCTAACACAGCACTTAAAGGTGACTACTTATTTTACTCTAAAAGTAGATACATGGGGTTCTTGCTTTATGTACACAGTGAATGCACTTTGAATATGTAATATTGAGTATTCCTATAGCACCATGTTCTATCTCCCTATCTAGATGTAGCTGAGAAGAAACCTGATACATTAAAAAAACCTGTTAAATTTTGCCCAAAGTACCAAAATAAAAAWAAGTCAATAAGCCTGTCAATTATGTATCTCATATAAACCTGATTCTTTTTGGGTTTTATAGATGGATTTTTGGAAAGAATATTCAACTAAAGGCCCTAAAATAAAAATAGGTAAGTCATCTTACTTTTTTCTTATACTGCAATATTTTCTGGTYGTTATAACAGTACACTCTTAATAGATCACACATTCAGTTAAGGAAATCAGAAATTATCTTTTTACTGAAGATCACTGTGAATTGTACAAGCATATTTAATTAACTGATGCAATAAAACTAAAGCATCTAAAAGTGGAATCCATTATAGATCTGTAGGAAAACAYTGTAATTTTCTTGACTGTTTCTTTATTACACAATTGGTGAAAATTGCAGTAATTCTGTGGCTGATATCTGTGGTTTGGTTTTGTTTGTTCCCTCCCCCCCACCATTTCTTTAATAGTAATATAACAGTCTGATTAAGGCTCAGAGTAGTCTGATCACAGATGTTTAATAAAAAAACTCAGTATGACTTGAGGAAAGATCTATAGCCTAATCAAGGTCACAAGTACGTGAAGGAATATTTGGAAGGCATTAGAAGACAGGCATCTCAACAGTTTTATGTACAGAAAATGGAATATCTACTCACTTTTGCTTGAAGCTGACTGTCAATGATACTCTTGGGTTGTGCTGCATAGATTTAATGGCTTCTCACAGCAAGTAAGRCATTTGTGGAAGGACAGCCTTATAGGACAGCAAAAAGCAGTATTTTATAGTGTAAACTGCAGACCATAGAGGGAAAAAACACATAATGACAAACATCAATGTTTTATCTTCAGGTGATGAAGCACTACAAAAGGTGAATGTCACAGGACTGCTCATCAGCCTGGTTGCTGCTGGAGTGCTGTTGGTTATAATTGCACTGATTATCTTCTACTGCTGCAAAAGCAGATGCAAATCAAGACAACCACCGGGGTAAGGAATTTCACTGCTTAAAAAAACCCAAACACACACCAAAACAAACTTTTGCTTGAGAGTGGCACTTAAAAATCACTGTGGGTTGGTCTGACTGTATTAGTAGAAAATCCAGTGGAAGTTCTAGTTCTTACCTAGGAACAAACTTAGGTGAGCACTAGCAGTAGTTATGCTACTATAGTGTGTTCTTGGTTCCGAAATATTCTTACTAAAATGATGGAATAAATTTAATAATAGGTTGGGGCCTGCAATGGGAAGTTTAACATATTCTGTTGGCACATTCAGGGAGGCTGTATGCTCTTCCTGGCGTGGGCTCTGCCTCAGGTGTGAAGTAGTTGTAGTCATAGATCATGAAATAGTTTGGAGGAAACGCATTTTTACCAATTCTCTACTCCCCCTTGTTCCTTTGTCCTAAACWTGAAAGGACTTGTGCTTTCTCTTCCCTTTAAATTTCACATCACTGAGCTAGTCTTACCTTGTGGTTTCGAGACAGTATTTGGCTTCTAGGCCTTGTGACCACTGAAGGCATGTTTTTTTTTCTCTTGTGGAGTTTTTTTGGTTGTTTTGGTTTATTTTATGATGAAGTCTTTCCTCTTACTTCCCTTTCAAGCACAAGTTTCCACTTACCTGCTGTTACCTTTGTTTAGGTATTTGGATTATGTAAGAAGCAGAAGACGTAATTCAGCCAACATCTTCAGAAGGCATGAAGAGTTTTCTTTGAACCCTCTTCCTCTCAGAACTGATGATTCAGGATTACCCACTTATGAGCAAGCAGTTACTTCAGCTGGACAACACAATGTGCCCCCACCCCCTTATCCAGGGCCCCCAAGAGATGCACGAGTGTTYCTAAAGTCCATGTCTCTCCCTGGCCCCTAATCACAAACCTTTTGGGGTGAGAGAAGATTACTGGAAYATACTTCTGAAAAAGTATGTGCTACCTTGCATATTGCAAGATGATTTTCAAAAATGTGAAAGATCTTTTGGACAGCTAGGAATGAGTGAAGTTCCCATTTGGGAAATGAGGTCACCTGTTGCAAAGGCTGCAGGATTATTCTTTGCACAAAATCACTGTGCTAAGAGGAGGGAATGCATAAAGACTGCTGCCCTCTTCCATATGCACTTTGAGCCATCCCATCAAACTATTGATGTTTCATTAATAGTTTMATCTCTTTCTTCTTCAGAAAGAACAGTATTTTGATTGCTCATATTGACACTAACCATTTTTTGTGACTTAATACTTTAAATCACCATAAGAAGTCTACTTTGTTGTTTGACATACTTCTTTGCTGTGTGAATTTTCTCTTCATTCTTGTAATAGATTTGAGTGTGAAAATTATTTCATGACTTGATCTTTYAAATATATGTATATATGGTATTGCTACTGGATTACACTGGTTTTCAATTCAACTTTTGCCMTGCTTGCAAAAGCATTTTGAAGTTCTCGAAGTTCTGTGAGACTGAAATAAGTGAATTGTGTGAGGTCTCTGTTGACAGTCAAGCTACAAGTTTATGAGAAGCTGTGGAATTATGAGCTTGCAAAAACATTCTCCCATATTTCCCTTTCATTTAGCTTGCACTTTTAAAATTTGTTAATGTACATTTTAAGCTCTAGAGCAGCACTCTCTTCCCTATTCTTAATGCCTAGCTTTATGTTTAAAGAGGCTATGTGCCAAATTAAATGCAAAATCTAATCTGTTAAAGCAACTGAAATCTTTTGCTTTGGTCAGAATCACAATTACAACAACAAACAACACAGCTAGTGATTAATAACAGGCCTAACCAAGACTCATGTTATTACTGCCTATCTGATCTACTCACTCATTCCTGCTCATGCAGGATACCACAGGCTGGCAGCACCCACAGCTGGCACAAAGGTGCTGCATCCAGGATCTGTAAGAGGGGAAATGGCTTCACAATGAAAATGAGTAGCTTTGTATTGGATAGTAGGAGGAAATTCTTTGCTGTGTGAGTGGTGAAGCCCTGGCACAGGCTGCCCAGAGTAGCTGTGCTTGCCCCATCCCTGTAAATGCTCAAGGACAGGCTGGATGGAGTTCTGAGCCTGCTCCAGTAGAAGGTGTCCCTACCCTTGGTAGAGGGGCTGGAACTCGATCTTCAAGGCCCCTTCCAACCCAAAGCATTCTATGATTCTATGATATACAACATGCAAAACCATTACACTCAAACATTGGCCAATATTTTTCTGTTAACATGAATAATAACTATAGCTCACTATGCATCTAAGAGCTTAATAAATATATACATAAATAAGCTACAAATAAATAGATTTACACTAATTGTGAACAGGAGCATTACTTTGGCCTTGGATCTGTGATTGATGTATTGCTCTAATTGTGATTAAATCACAGAAAACTGCCAACTCGCCGTTAGCTTGATCCTGCATTTCATTTGGCATATGGTCACTCTAAACATGTAACTAGGCCTCAGAAAGCAATATTGCCATTCAACATTGTGTAACACTGAATGATTTAAACAGAAAGAGGAAATAGGGAAGTTTCCCTAAGGGGCAGTGTATATTAGCTAACACAGTTCTGCAACAGAGCTGCCTTGGTTCTGGCTGAAGTGGCTCATGGGCASAGCAGCCCAYCCCTGCCTGCAGAGGTGTATCYTCAAGCACTCCAGAGATTTCCATATGGAATATACCACAAACCAAGACAACATCTCATCATCAAAAGTAAAACTTGCCTGCTCTTCCCTACCATCTCCTCCTACCATTGCTCGCCCTGAGCCAGCTCTCACTTCTTACAAAGGCAAGCTGACTCAGCTCAGCCAAATTACAGAAAAATTACCTCTGGCAAAAAAAAAAAAAAAAATGTTCTTTTGCCACTGGAGCGAATTCATCACTCACCTTGTGGCCAGAGCTCATCACTAGGAGTTAGAGAGTGAAGCAGGGAAGGAGGGACAATAGGAGCTTTTCCTTCAGTGTCAGCAAACAGCTGAGGCAGCCCAGTCCTGCTGGAGATCATTCCCCGGACCTTAAGCAGATGATTCCCATTAAAGTGCTCCCTTAAGTACTTATATTTGTCTTCGAGCCATCAAATGACATTTTTGACTCTGTAAAGGGTTTATTTTTTCCAAGTGGAGACTCTTCATTTCGGGAAAGAAATGGGAAAAAAAAAAAAAAATCAGTGCTGCTCAAGGTTGGTATGCTGCACAGATTGTGTTACAGTGCTTGAATTTCTAAGATTTTGGTCTTAAATATAGAGAAAAATTGCATTAGCTTGTGTTTCAGCAAGATGTTTTTATTATATTAAATTCTTGACTTCAGAGAGAAGRACATACAATAACACTACTGGCTACAGGCACTCCATAATGAACCAAGTTCAGAAGGCATTTTAGTCCACCAAAGCTCAGTTCCTAAATAGCAAGTGATAGCTGCATTTGAAACAAAACCMTTCCTTATTATGACAAGATTCCAAGTATATTCAGAATCATTAATATGTCTAACATGACTTCTAAATACACATTTTAATATGTACRCTTTAATCTACACATTAAAAAAATCTAATTAATATGATCTATCAAAGGAATTTTTCTATCCCTGAAACAGATCCTTCAGAAAAGCTGCTTATAAGTATCCTGGATACCAGGACACTGTAAAAAGCACTTAATGTCAACATACTCTTTTGTTGTCTTAAAGTGCTACAAAATACCATTTAGCTACAAAGAGATAAAATGCAAAAACTTCAAGAATGATTTCCTAGACAGAGGATGGCAACAAGCAGTCAGTTAATGAGAAAACTCCGGAAGTTTCATTGGCTGATCCCAGGACAAGATTGATCTCATACACAGGAAAAGCAAATCATTGGATAAAACTGAGTTTATCTGATGATTATGGACATTAGTGATTCAGTTTTCAGTCTACTCCACCTCTATTAAAACCACATAAAAGAAATGAAACTTCTATAATTTCTGTTTCACTCAACTTCACTATGTGATTGCCAKAAAAAAGGATCTACTCCAGCAATGTTCAGGGAAACCACTGTGTTTGTGGTTCATTCAGTGGTATAAATGCATCATCTATGTTTCCCTGTAAATCTGGTGCTTGTTGTTTGTGATTTCTCATGTAACATGATTTTACAGCCATGTACCCATTCCCACATTCTGTTCAGAGAAATTCTGTAATGGAAATAAACAATGTAATGGTACTCTTTAAAGTTCATGTTGCCATTAATTGAGGAAAAAAATCAAACAAGACACTAGCAGTTTTACAATTTATTCATACATCGTTCCAAATGTGGGACAAGAAACTGCAGCAGCATATTCACTCTAGAAAACCAAACACTGCAACTGGATGGAAAAGGCATTTTGTATCAGTTCTACCTATCACCCTCCTCTCAGGCCCACTTGAGGGAAACAATGTGCTCTAAGTGTAATAATATCATGGAGATTAGAGGAGATTCTGCAGAGAAATAAAAAAACAGTGGTTCCTTCCCCACCGAAATGGCACTTCCAAGAGTATCAGCATACAACCATTAGCATACAAGTGGAATAATTTTCTGTCATCAGGCCTCGTTCATATGTAAAACAGCAACTCTGCTGTTTCCCAGGGAAAGGTCTCCCACCCCCCACATGCTCTCCTCCAGCTGCAAGCAATACAGGTGCTAACTTATGCAAACACAAGGAAAACTCACTCTGCTGGTTTCTGGCTTTGGTGAGCTGTGGCTTCTCTCTCCWTCCTCTGCCCTGGCCTCTGGGTGACTTCACTCCTCTCCTCAGTGCCGATGACTTTTTCACACTTACCTTTCTTACCCTCCTCATGCAAGGCTGCATTTCTTCCTGCCACTTTTTGAAGCTAGGTATGAGAAAAGCAGAACCTCAGCTTTTCCTCCTGAAGTCTCTTATGTTTGGGCTTTCTTATTTAATGTTGATAATTCCATCTTTTCAGTCCAATGTTGAGGTTTTTTGTAATTTTTTTTTTTCAACATCTAATCTGATTGGCTGTAGCCAAGTTTCTAAATGCATTTCACCCGAATTCATTTCACTCTGTGGTTCRGTATTGCCTGGAGTGCTACAAACTGAATCTTCAAAAGACTTACTYGCTCATTAGCATACACCTTCCTCTGCTGAGCAATGCCTTCAGGTGCAGCAACCCTCTTTTCAAGAGAATATTCCTCATCTGTACCTCTGAGGCACATTCCTCCTGCTCATCTCGGCCTGCCCATCTTCTATCTGCAGGGAAAGCAAGACACCACAGTTCACCCACCATCCCCATGCACGATGTCTGCTTTTCTCCCACCCTGTTCTGTGCAGATGGTGCCCATTTCCCTTATTCTTTCTTTTAACAAGCACAAAGCAGAACATACAGGAATTTACTGTCTACAAACCAGGTGGCCTAGCCTGCTCTAAATAATAACAAAGTGCTTTAGCCAGTGCTTACTAAAGAAAGCCTCTAGAACCGTTCTGAAGTTTTACCACTTAAATTTACACTGCTCTAAATAAAAATAAAGAATAGACATTCTCTCTGTTCCCTTGCTAGCTGACTTTTGGCCTGCACAAGAAAGCTGAAGAGAGACTTTTTACAAGGGCATGTGATAGGACAAGGGGTAATGGCTTTAGACAGGGAGTAGGTTTAGATTAGAGATTATTTATTTTGAGGATGGTGAGGCACTACAACACATTGCCCAGGGAAGTTTTGCCTCTCCCATCCCTGGAAGTGTTCAGGGCCAGGTTGGATGGGGCCTTGAGCAAGCCAGTCCAGTGGAAGGTGTCCCTGCCCATGGCASAGGGGATGGAAGTGGATGATCTTTAATGTCCCTTCCAACCCAAAGCATTCTGTGATCCCATTATACGAGTCTGTCCAGGGTCCAGACTTGCAGTGACTTATTGATGGGGAATGCCCGAGTCTTTTGGAAAGCTCTGACATGCAGACATATAAAAGAGGAGGCGGCGGGTGGTGGCTCGGCGAGCCCAGCCCGGGGGGAGGCGGACGGGCGGGGGATCTGTGTCACCGCTCGGTGACGGTGACAGGGGCAGGGCCGCCCTACAAAGCGCTGTACAATGGGGCGGCTGTCGGGCTCCATCTTGGCGGCGGCGGCCGCCCCGGAGCCCGCGGCTGGCGGAGCTTCCCCTCCGCGGGAACAACATGGCCCCGCCCCGGTTGCTCCAACAAAGCGCCAGCGCTTCACTTCACCGAGGAACCGGCCACCCCCATACCCGACCCCGCCCCGGTGGCGGCTACCGCCCCCCGCCACGCTCCGCCACGCTCCGCTCCCGCCGCAGCGCTTCCCCTCAGGCCGCGGCCGTCCGTCCGTCCGTCCGCGAGTCACAGACCTCCTCCTCCTCTTCCTTCTCCTCCTCCTGCTCCCGCTCCCCCCGCCGGCGCTGCTGGCGGCGGCCCCTCCGCCGCGGCCTCCCTGCCCCCGGACACGGAGCCCGTGAGCCCCAGTGCGCTGGCGGGGGAGGAGCATCCTGGGAACGCGCAGCCCGACATGGGTCCGGCGGCCGCGCAGCCCCCGCCGCCGCCCGCAGCTCCGCCCG